CACGATTTCTAGTTAAATACTCCCTCGTTAGTGGAAGTCGGCTGCGGCTGCGCTGGCCGCTCCCCCGTCGTTTAGGAGACAAAAGGTCGATTGGCCTCGACAGAAACTCCTCAAAATGCAAAGCACCAATAGCTTGACACCCTAATCAGTGAACAAACACCCTGTGGTGTTTTGACAAAATGAGAGTTTAAGGATACAAGTCTTATTTGCTTCAGAAAACAAGGCAAAACAGACTTAGATCAGGTCAAAACCTAGCAGAGTTAGGAGGGCACACTGGCAGTTAACTTAATAGTAGAATCTAGAACACAAACTGGCACTAAAAGACTGAAAGAGCTTGAGCAAGCTAGCAACCAAGCTATATTAATAATGACTTATTTTACTATTGTCATATCAATACCATTCCAGTCTCTTGATGTTTTTTTTTTGAAGTTATTAACTATGGCAATAATTTCATTTTTATCGGTGTCTTTCAGAAAGATAGTATCTGGGTTCCTCTTGCCCAAATAATGTGCTACACATCTCCCTTGCGGAAGGTTTATCTGCTCTTCTAGTTTAGGGCCCACATTTACAAAGAATTTATTGAAGCCTTCTACCATCTCCTTTTTGTCATTAATAATCTTATCATTATCTAGAATTTCTTCTGGCAATCCAGAGCTGGTCGATTGATTTCTTATTATTGAATTTAAGATCTTCCATGTTTCCTTTATATTATTTTTATTTTTATCTAGTAGTTTACAATAATAATCCTTTTTACAATTTCGCATCATATCAGTTAATTTATTTTTTATATCTTTTATACTTCATTTCTTTCTCCTTATTTCTATTCTTGATAAACTCTTTATATAAGAAGTTCTTCTTTTTACAGGCGTTCAACAGACCCTTTGTAAGCCAAGGTTTATCTGAGCGATTTGCTCGTTTTCTGCTTTGCTGAATTGGACAGCATCTGTCATATAACATCATAAAAGTTTGCAGGAAGGAATCATAAGCATAATCAACCTCATCTGCCTCATAAACCTTTCTCCAGTTTTGTGCACTTAATTAATTTCTGAACTTGTTTAGATTGTCAACCGTTCTTAATCTCCTTTCTATCATTTCATTCCTTTCAGCCAACCTAGGTGCACCGCTGTAGATTGCAAACACCGGCAGATGGTCACTAATATCATTTAATAATAATCCACTTTCTATATTATCTATGAGGTTATTAGTAAAAATATTATCTATAAGTGTTGCAGAATGAAATGTAATTCGACTAGGTTTAGTAATAGTAGGATACAAGCTTCTGCTGTACATTGCATCCATGAATTTCTCTATCGGTGTTAGTTTGTTAGAAGTCAGAAGATCAATGTTGTAATCGCCACAGAGAAAAGTTACCTTTTGCTCGGTGTTTGTAGCCATACTCTCCATCACCTCCTTGAACTTCTCTATGCTATTGTTGGGAGCCCGGTATGCACAGCTGACAATGATGTTCTTCCTTTTCCCCATATCTATTTCAATAGTAATACATTCACATATATCATCAATTGCAGCCGTCATACTTTCAACAATCTTGTACTTAAGTCTTCCATCAACATAAAGTGCAACTCCCCCTCCCCTTTTGTTGCCTCTGTTTACATAATTCAGATTATAACCATCCAACTCAAATTCCACCCCTTTCTCCAGACTAATCCAGGTCTCCGAGATTGCGATTACACTGAACGGTGAGGTGAACTGGTCTAGGTAGTCTTTAATCTTGTAAAAATTAGCGTAAAGGTTTCTACTATTGAAGTGTATTATCTTTATATTGTGTTCTGACCCAAACTTTTCGTTGAACTGATTTTCCGTGTAGTAGTCACAATTTCTCCCATTGTTGAAGTACTTACTCTCTGGATCTGTGTCTGAATCTAAGTCAAGCATAGTGTCAGTTGAAGTCTTGCACCATCGTTTACTGTAACCTCCCAAATGTCATATGAACACTCCCCCAGTATTCTCAGTTGTATTCTTCCACACCCTTTTCTTGCCACATCTAGTATCACTAATATGTCATATGGACACTCACCCTCAGTCACACACCCTGTCATCCATCCTTTCACACGGTCACTCTTACACCAAAACCACAACTCACGCCTACGAGCCTCACAGTCTGGTTTTGTCCCCATAACCACAGAAAGGTTTGTGCGAAAAAAGCAGCAATGATACGGAGGCCGTAGGAAAATGCACCACCAGATAGAAATCTGCAGGGGAAAACATCTCCACGAGAACACAACATCCATTATTATTAGAAAAGATAATGTCACTGTTTGATGTTTTACCATTTCATGTCCCATTATTGAACTGTAAAAGAATTTTTTTCTCTCGCCCTGCCGAATGATGAGTTTGTCATACCTCAGAAAGGCATAGTCCCCCCGCTCTCTGGCTTCTTTCATTTTAGGCAAAAGTTCCTTCCTTTTCTGTCTCACAGTCTCCGGATAGTCCTCATTTATGAAAATACTCGTCCCCTTCAATTTTCTTGCATTTCTTAGCACCGTGTCTCTGTCCTTTATTCTATGGAATCTCACAATGACTGGTCGTGGTCTGTCTTGAGTGCCATCGCTGGAGATGTTCACCTTTCCAGCACGCATTGCCTGTTCCACTGGGAAGGGGTTCCACAATTATCTTAGGGTCCAGGTTGAGTTTCTCTTCGATAATTTTCAGAACTTTTTCCTCTGAGACCTAGTTGTTTTCCTTTTCTGCCTCAGGAATGCCATCCATAATTAAGTTGGCTCTCCTTGCCTGACTGTCCAGGGAGTCAGATTTAGCATCCAGTATCAACATGGATTCTGCCAGTCGCTCAATATCTGATTCTTGTGATTTGCAGATTGATTGAGTTCCTTTACATGTAGTTTTCAATTCATCCACCTCCTTTTGCGTGAATTGCAGACTTGTTCTTAGGTCTTGCAGATCTTTAAGCAGTTCACCAATTCTTTTACTGGACGTATCCATAATAGTGCAGACAAATGCTTTGAAATTGCTTTCTTGCTGCTGTAAAAGTTCTTTGTAAAAAGCTTTTTGTTGTTCAAGGAGTTCTTGCACTTGTGCCATTGATACACTTTGATCACTGTCTTTTTCCACTTTATCTTTGTTCCCCTTCCCACCAGCCATTTTGTCCTAGGTCTTGGCCCAACAAACTGTGGTTCAGGAACAGTCCCAAACTTTTACAAGATCTTTCAAGTTTGCACTTACAAGATTTAAGATCTTCTGCCAGATGGCTCATGTAAAATGTTGTTGTATAAAAGGAAGGGATTTCAGAGATGTTTGTAGATTTGCTTTACCCAGTTCAGCAGCAGTTCAGCAGCAGTCAGCCATCATCTTCTGTGACGTAGGCGCCTAGCATCAACGTAAAATGACGTGTAACGGAGGTAGGGGTGTCCCATTTCTTAGGGCTATATTTTCACCCCTACGCCTTGCCACTCTGTTTCAAGGGCCAAGGGGTAGGGGAAGGGTTAGGGCTAGGCGTAGGGGTATAAAATAGAATTGGAATTCAGCCTACATCCTCCAGCATCTGGACTCCCCAGGAACCTACACCAGGATTCTATTTGTGGACTTCAGCTCTGCTTTCAACACCATCATCCCGTCTTTGCTGCAGGACAAACTCTCCCAGCTGCACGTGCCCGACTCCACCTACAAGTGGATCACAGACTTCCTGTCTGACAGGAAGCTGCACGTGAAGCTGGGGAAACATGTCTCAGCCTCTCGGACCATCAGCACCGGTTCCCCCCAAGGCTGCGTTCTTTCCCCTCTGCTCTTCTCCCTGTACACCAACAGCTGCACCTCCAGTCACCAGTCCGTCAAGCTCCTGAAGTTTGGGGATGACACCACCCTCATTGGACTGATCTCTGGTGGGGATGAGTCCGCCTACAGGTGGAAGTCTGACCATCTGGTGTCGTGGTGCAGTCAGAACAACCTGGACCTCAACGCTTTAAAGACAGTGGAGATGGTTGTGGATTTCCGGCGGAACAGAGCCCCACCCTCCCCCATCACCCTGTGTGACTCCCCCGTCACTATTGTGGATTCCTTCCGTTTCCTGGGCTCCATCATCACCCAGGACCTCAAGTGGGAGCTAAACATCAGCTGCATCACAAAGAAGGCTCAGCAGAGGTTGTTCTTCCTGAGGCAGCTGAAGAAATTCAACCTGCCAAAGACGATGATGGTCCACTTCTACACGGCCATCATGGAGTCCATCCGTCTGGTACGCTGCAGCCACAGCCAAGGACAAGGGCAGGCTGCAGCGCGTCATCCGCTTTGCAGAGAGGGTGATCGGCTGCAATCTGCCGTCCCTGCAGGACTTGTTCGCTTCCAGGTCTCTGAAGCGAGCTAAAAAGATCGTAGCTGACCCCGCTCACCCCAGACAAAACCTGTTTGTGTCCCTTCCATCTGGCAGGAGGCGGAGGTCCATCAGGACTAAGACCTCCCGCCACACGAACAGTTTCTTCCCGTCGGCAGTCGGGCTCATCAACACAGCCGGTCCGCCCCTGACTGACTATAGCATTCCACTAGTCACTCCCCTTCATACTGCACAAGTCACTTTAACTGTAATTTTTCACTCGTTGCTTTGTTGTCACTCGTCACTTTGTCGTCACTCGTGCACTTTATTTTTTAATATTTTGTAACTTTAACTTTATTCTCTTATTTTATACTAACCCATAGCTTTATTCTACTAACCCATTGCATTAGCATTTGTGCACTGCTGTCTTGTCTATTGTTACACTGTCTACTGCCACACACCCAACCGCCAAGACAAATTCCTTGTATGTTTGACATATTTTGGCAATAAATGTTTCCTGATTCCTGATAAAGCAGACAAATTAAAACGTGCAATATTTACTATTTGGATGTAGCGCAGGAGAAGTATGCAGTTAAATTACGTGGATATACTAGTAAAGTGCAAGTACATCGTATTTTTAAAAACGTACACTACCTGAGTAACTTCGACATACCAAACTGGAACGCGTGTATCACGTACAGCGGCCGTACGCGGTGACGTCACGACGCACTCCTCGCACAACCGCATTGTTGTTGGGGAAGAGAAGCTCGGGAAGCCGCTGAACTCTGCCGCTTCCGAACAGACCCATTCGACCTGCAAGCGATCCCGATCGAAGTGATAACACCCCGAAACCGACTCCGTCGCCCTGGATACCCGTCGGTCCTTCTCCGGGTTGAGTCGGTTGAGCGCGAGCCGCGGCAGCCTGCCACTTCGCACCGCCATTGCTGCCGTTAGCTGAATTCGTGAAAATACCCCCGGTAAGTTGAGCCCCACTCTGCCGTTTTAAATATCGTACCCTCGCAACCCGGACCGTTTCGTCCGGGCTAGTCCGAGAGGAAGCCTCGCTTTCCTGTCGAGGCAGTTTCTTGTTGTGCTGGTCGCCATATTTCCTCCCCCTTCAGTTAAGGTGTAATGCTAGCAGGCTAACGTTAGCCCGGTTGGTGGACGGAGTGTCCAAACGCGTGAAACCGGCCGCCGGAAGGGCCGCCCGTATAAAAGGAGGACACCGTTCCTGGATCCGACCCCTGTTCGGTTACTTTACGGTCGATACGTTCTGGTATTTCATTTTGTCAATGAGAACCAGTTATTTTATTTTTTGTTTAAATATTTGTACATTAGCAGGATGAAGCTCAACGTGGACGGATGTTTAACCACAGTGAAAATATGTTCATTGAATCGTTGAATTATAGTCATTGTCAATAAACGGTAATCATGTTTATCATTGAGTCGTGCATTGTAAATATTCTTTGTATTGGTACAAAAAGTATATAACAGGATGTACCATGTGACGTCCATAGCTGTTGTCTCACTCCTCAGGGTCTCTACGGCTGCGGCATGAAGAAGAAAAGTCGACAATACCGCCCTGCTGTGCTGAAGAGGGACTCCTCGCCCATCAAGCCGTCGACCAACCGGGAGACGCTGACGTACGCGCAGGCCCAACGCATTGTGGAGCTGGAGGTGGACGGCTGCGTGCATCGCCTCAGCATCTACGACAAGATGGACATCATGGGAGACAACCACCCCACGGCGCAGGAGATCATGGAGTGCAACAGCAACAAGGAGAACAACGAGAAGCCCCAACAGGTCCTGGTGCGCTCCATGCGCCTCAAAAACAGCCAGCAGAAGAAGAACGCCGCGCTCACGGCCGCGCACACTGGCACCGGCGGCCTGCTGGAGCCCAAGGTCAGGACGGTAGAGTACAACCTGCCGGTGGTGCCCAAGAGGCCGGCGGCATACTACAAGTACACGGAGAGGACGTCGGAGGAGCTGGACGAGGAGGTGGAGTACGACATGGACGAGGAGGACTACTCCTGGCTGGAGATCGTCAACGAGAAGAGGCGGAGCGAGGGCGTCAGCCAGGTGTCCTTCAACCTGTTCGAGTTCCTCATGGACCGCTTTGAGAAGGAGACGCACGCCGCCACTCGCGGCCACAGCGACTTGCGCTCGCTGGTGGACGAGGATGCCGTGTGCTGCGTGTGCATGGACGGAGACGGCGCCGACAGCAACGTCATCCTCTTCTGCGACTCGTGCAACATTGCCGTGCATCAGGAGTGCTACGGCGTGCCGTATGTCCCCGAGGGCCAGTGGCTGTGCCGCCACTGCCTGCAGTGTCCGGCACGGCCCGCCGACTGCGTCTTCTGCCCCAATCGGGGCGGCGCCCTGAAGAAGACCGACAATGACCGCTGGGGCCACGTGGCGTGCGCCTTGTGGGTGCCTGAGGTGGGCTTCTCCGACACGGTCTTCATCGAGCCCATCGACGGCGTGAACAACATCCCGCCGGCGCGCTGGAAGCTCACCTGCTACCTGTGCAAGGAGAAGGGCGCCGGGGCGTGCATTCAGTGCGACAAGACCAACTGCTACGCCGCCTTCCACGTCAGCTGCGCCCAGAGGGCGGGACTGTACATGAAGATGGAGCCTGTCAGGGAGGTGACGCTGTCCGGCGGCACCTTCTTCTCCGTGAAGAAGACCGCCTACTGCTGCGTCCACACGCCCGAGGGATGCGACCGCCGGCCGCTCGGCATCTACGAGGGGCCGCACGCCAAGAACGGAGCGTGTCTCAAGAGGGCCGACAAGAGGGGGAAGTCCCGGGCCAAAGGCTGGGCCAGGAAGAAGAGCAAGAGGGGCGACCCGGAACCAGAGGCCGAGGCCCCCGCCAGCCCCGGGCCCAGCATCACCACCTCAAGGTAGGCGGGGAGAAACAAGACTCCCAGAAAGCATCTCTCAAACATTATTAGTGTTTTCTCGCCCAGTGCCACTCGGGTCCTAAGTAACGTGTATGTATGATGTTCAGACAGAGGAACATCAGTAAAGGCCGGTCCAGTTTAAACACATTGTTAAATCTTAATATTTGTACATTTATATTAATAACATTGTAATTAACATCGGTAACACTCCGAATCCAGAAGCCTGAAGCAGAAGTTCCTGCTTCTTGCTACTTCCTGCTCAGGCTAACCCCTCTGAAATGACCTGTATTAATGGATTCATATCCCCCTCTGCCCCCCCGGGGTTCAGTTTCTACACCATCCTGAACCAGGTGGCGGTGCAGAGGAAGCGCGTGTTTGTGGAGCGGGTGCTGAGCTACTGGGTGCAGAAGAGGCAGTCGAGGAACAACGTGCCGCTCATCCGCCGGTTGCAGTCCCACCCCCAGCCCCCCAAGGTCAAGCAGACGGTCAGTGCCGACACGGTGGATTGCCGGCCTCCTTTTCTGACGTTGGCCCGCTTACCACAAAGTGTGTGCGTTGTTCTGCAGGACCTCGCGGAGACCAACCAGGCGCTGAAAGAGTTACACCGCCTGCGGCACGACCTGGAGCGAGCGCGCCTGCTGCTAGAGCTCATCCGGAAGAGGGAGAAGCTGAAGAGGGAGGAGGTATGGTTGTTTTTCATTAACATCCACCACCCAATTAAATCAAACAAAAGTTACTTTTTTAAAGGTTGTGTTGTTGCTTACTGAAATAAAAAAAAGATACGGTGGCGAAGTTGCTTTAGTGACGTTTTGTGTTTCTGTGTGTGCGTGCGTCAGATGAAGCTGCAGCAGTCAGCGCTGGAGGTCCAGCTGACGCCCTTCAACATCCTGCTGCGGGCCGTGCTCAGCCAGCTGCAGGAGAAGGACCAGTACAGCATCTTCTCCCTTCCCGTCAGCGCCAAGGAGGTCCGCCGCGTCTCACCACGTCTCTGAAACGTTGATGTCAATCTATCACGGGTCCAATAATCTAAATTCATATCACATAGCATGTGTTAAATAAATAGATTGATGCTTATTTAATGGTCTCTGCTGATAAGTGGGTGTTGTGTCTGCTGATAAACAGGACAAACAATGTCCGTAGTGGAAGTGAACACGTCCCCTCTGCCTCCTGCAGGTTCCAGACTACTTGGACCACATCCAGGACCCCATGGACTTCTCCACCATGAGGAAGCGCATCGACGGCCGCGCCTACAGGAGCCTGGAGGAGTTCGAGGCCGACTTTGACCTCGTCATCTTCAACTGCATGAAGTACAACGCCAAGGACACCTTCTTCTACCGGGCCGCCCAGCGCATGCAGGACAACGGGGGCGCCATCCTCCGCAGGGCTCGCCGGGAGGCCGAGAGAATCGGCTTTGACTTCCCCAGCGGGCTGCACCTGCCCGAGGCCCCGAAGGCGGTGGCGGCCCCCGCCTTCTGCTGGGAGGACGGTGAGTCGGGTGGACTGAGTGCTGCTAAATCCACTGCTAAAGGTAACTGTGTGACGATGTCATATGATCCTCTGTCCCTCCCAGTGGACCGGCTGCTGACCCCCGCGTACCGACAACTGACCCCCCTAGAGGAGCAGCTGAGGGAGCTGCTGGAGAAGCTGGACCTGAGCACGGCCATGAAGCACAGCCCGTCGCGCAGCAAGCGGCTCAAACTTCTCAAGAAGACCATCACGGAGGTCCGAAGCAAAATGAGCCTCAGGCAGTCCCCCCGGAAGCCGCAGCCCAGCGACACCCCCCTGGAGGAACCAGTTCCCGAATCCTTGGCGGCGCCTTGCATGCCGCCAAAGAAGCCAGCTCCGCCCCCCCAAACGTTAGAGCTGTTGACCTTGCTGTCGCGGATTGAAGCCTCGGAGCCGCCGCCCCCTCAGGAGGCCCCCAAAGCCAGCACGGATCGTTCTCTCTCAGAGCCGCATGACGACACGTCTACCTCAGTGCTCGACGGGCTCGCCCCCGAACCGCCACTCTCCAACGCCAACGCCCCCGTCGCCTGTAACCGGCGGAACAACGTCCTCTTCCGCAAATCCAAGAGCACCAGCCCCCAGAAACCACTGAAGAGCCCAGAGGCGTCCACCCTGGCGCCCCCTTCCCTGGGCGCCAAAACCTTCCTGTCAGTGGTGATCCCTCGGTTGGAGACACTGCTCCTGCCGAAGAAGCGGAGACACAGCAGCAGCGCCGACGGCAATGAGGAGGACGAGGAGTTGCCAATAAAACGCCTCGGCACAGGTACTGAAAGGTTTGACAAGTCGTTGGAGCGTCCGATTGCAAACCCTAAACGCCACTGTGACATGTTCTCCTCCAGGAATAGCAAACAATTTTGTGGTGGAGGAGGAGGAGGGCGTCTCTCTGACTTCTCGGCGCCGCTGTGCCTCCGAGTCGAGCATCTTCTCCAGCGGGAGCGTCTTCTGCGGCACGAGGTGAGTCGCAGGAAGAGAAGTGACCCAGCAATCCGACCATTGAAGACCAAACGGAGGAACAGTTTATTGAGCCATCGTGAGATCCAAGGGTTGTATTACAACAAAACAAAAAGTGGTAAAAAAGGAGCTATATTATCTTCGAATCAACAGAAATGACGAAGGGAGGTTTGTTTTTTTATATTAAAATCTCATCCAGCTCTCTCCACGTATCCTCCAGCACCGTCATCATTTCTAAAGGCGATAAAGGGCGCTCGCCGGTGGCCCGGCGGAGCACTGTGGACAACCACAGCCCCCCGGTGACCTGCGTAAAGAACGAGGAGCTCGGCAAAGCCTCCAAGACGCCGTCAGGTGAGCAGAGCGCCGTCCTCCGTGTCGTCAAGGTCAGCTGTCTTCTTCTGTGGGTTCCGAGAGTTATTGTTTTAACGTGTAAAGTACATCACAAATTACACAATGAACCTACTGAATCCGAAAAACTATTTTACACAAGCTAAACACAGAAAGGCCCGGTTTAAAACCTATTAAATTTGTTGAAAATTAATTCAATAATAACTATGTGTTTAAAATTGTTTGACTTATTAATGCAAAGGGAAAGGTGTCCATCCCAAACGAGGTGTCCTCCTGTCTCTCCAAATGAAAGCTCAGCGTTGACGGCTATAGTTCAGCTCCTCTTTGGAAGTGACGGGTCGGCACGGGCGAGGAGGAGGAGCCACTCACTAACCAGCCAGCCGCTATCTCCTCCTCTTCGTCACCAGTCTGATGGGTTTTGCACAATAAGGAGGAGAGAACAAATTTGAAGCCGAAACCACATAGTGTGACTTTGTCCCCTTAGTGTGTGTGTGTGTGTGTGTGTGTTAGGGCTGTCAAAATTGCTCAAAAATAACGTTCAAATATTCGCTGAAAAAAAAAGGAAAAATTTAATACGAGACATAACTACTTGTACAGGTAATTTATTTAAGTTTAAACCAATTTAACAACATATTACCTGCACAAAAATAAGTAAATTAACTAACGGCCACACCCGCAGACTCTCTCTCTCTCTCAGTGACTGAAACTGAAGGTTTTACAGTACCGACATTGAACGCACCGAGCGAGCTGAGCTGTAAACACAGAACTTTTCATTGGCATGAAACGGCAAATAATCAAAGCAGTGCATGGAGCTGTTGTAGCAGATCTGGTCTATTTTATTCATGCAATATACAGTCAGTAGTCAGGCGTGCGCCCACACGCTAAGCAGACAGTTGCGCCGCCGTTTTTTGTTACACTAACACACACCCCTCCACCCCTCTTCTGTTTATCACTACCCATCTGCCCCGGCTGCCATCGTCCGTGCCGTAGCTCGTGATTTGTGCTTGCGGCCCATCTCGGAGATGTTGTCGGTATTTCTGTTCTCAGAGCGTCTCCAGCTCCACTCTCCGGTGCTTGCGTGTCTCTTTGAGTTGGGGTGGATTACGGTTAAGGGGCGTGTCTTCTGGATTAACTGCTCCATGCATCCCTGTTACTGTGAGACGGCTACACTCAGCCTCCATCCTGCTTCTTTTGTTTTATGTTTTGTTTTCTGGCCGTCACAGATCACGGACCCCAGAGGGCGGAGGACGGGGGGTCAGCACAAAGGGGCAGAGCTTCCCCAGCTGCCTCCGCCACCGGACGTCCTCAGAGCCGGAGAGCGGATGCAGTTCAGGTCCGCAGAGAAACTCTTCCTCGTCCACTTCTTCGACAGCAAGCGCAGCTGGTGAGGAAGTTGTGGTGGATGTTTGGATTAAGTCCTTGTGAGAAATCAAGTCAAGTATCTTGAACTCGCTATGTGATTAAGTATTTATTACTAACTAAAATATAGAAAAATAATAAAGAATACAGAAATCATCAACGCAAGTCGTAAGTACAGACCAGGTTATTATCATTAACGAAAAAAACGAAAACGAGGTGTGATTTTTTTTTTCGTTAACTGAAATAAAATTAAAAAGATACCGCATTTTCGGCACTCCAAGGCGCACTTAAAAGGCTTTAATTTTCTCAAAAAAGACAGTGCCTTATAATACGGAGCGCCTTATATATATGGATCAATTGGTTAATCGGTTGATCCATACTGGTTGTACACGGCGCTCAAGGCGCTCTGCCAAACATGGCAAAGCTCGTCTACGACGGCGAGATGCTGAGCGGCGCTCAAGCGCGTGAGATATGGAGCTTGTTTCAGGGCGCGTCGGAGAAACAAAGCTGTCGTTCTCGCCGAGCACTTGATGAGATTAAAGAGCGAGAGACGGTGCCCTTTTCTCTACAGCAGCTGAACCATCTTAACGGGGAAAATAAGTTATTCTAAAAGCACCCGAAGATTTAAGGCGTGGATGGCGAGGGGGGCGGCGGGAGCGGACGCACCTCGCAGCATCGATCGGACCCTGAAAGCACCGTCTCCACCTGACTGTCAAAAAGAACAACAGCGAGCGCGTAGAAAACTTCTTCGAGCGCGAGCAGAGATTCTCCTCGCGAGCAACGAAGTTCACGTTTCGCAAGCGAGCAAATACCTCGCGAGACGGACTTTTGCTCGCGGATGTTTGATTTTGGTCTCTTAAGGTCATTTAATCATTATGTTTTGACCACAGTTGTGAATAAAGGTTTGGGTGGGCCGCGAAAAATTTTCAGATTTCAAATTGGGCTGCGGCATTCTTGAGTTTGGGAACCGCTGCCCTAGGTGATATGTATGTATGCTGCTTTAGATAAAAGGCTGATAAAAGTATAACAACGCAACAAAAAAATCAGGTCCACCAGAGGGGATTTGTTTCTGGGACATTGGAGCTTCGGGACCGCAGCCGTTTGAGGAAAGACGAGTGTGTCCTTCAATGTTAACCCCTCTCTCCTCCTCAGGCAATGGCTTCCTAGATCCAAGATGGCTCCCTGCGGAATCAACTGGGCGCTCGATAAAACCAAGCTGGAGAAGGCTCGCTCCACCAGCCTCCGAAAAACTGAGCGGCTCACCTTCGATTGGTCCATGAAGCACCGGGACCGCGTGGGCGGAGAGGCGGCACCTCGGACTGAACACACACACACGCACACCCCCTCTGAAGTCCGCCATCATCATATCAGTGATGGTCACATCAGCCTTCTTTTTCACATTCACAAGCCGAGACGCTCTGATTCTGTCTCATACGCACAAAAATACACGTCATGTTTACCATGTCCTGCAAACTGGACCCCACCTACCCCCAAATACCGTAGCTGATGACCTCCGTTTGTCCGTTGGTCTTCAGATATTTATACGATGATCAGCTTGTCCTGTCTCTACACAGAGAAAACAAATAAACATGCATGCAGTATTGACCCTTTTATTTTAAAGTTCAGCTCTTTAAAAAAAAACCTGGTTTTGTAACTTATTGAGTTCTCAAGCTTTGGAATCTTTCTTCTTAGTTAATTCATTAATAATCTTAATTAATTAATTGTTTCTGTGTGTCTGTTTTTTCACCTGGATGTTTTTACTGGACTATTTGTTTATTTTTCCTTTTTGTAGATATTTATATAAAATCTATATAGATGCTCTCAAAGTACAAAATGCCTAAAGTATTCACACCAAAACCTAATGTCTGCCCACTCGTGTGTGTCCTCCACCTCGTCCTCCTCCTTCACAGTTCAGTTGTTTTGGGGGTTTCAGTGATGAGTTTACAGAATCTTCAGTCATCTGAAAACGTGCCTGTATTAATTTATTGTAAAGCAGAAAATGTATATGCATTACTTTATAGAGAGCATTGTAATGAAATACCACGGGCACATGGGTGCACACGTAGAGCCCCCCACCCCACTGTCTGTTTTTTACTTTTGGGGTATTTTAGCATTAAGTCTGAGAGGTGAGGTGATAAGTGTTTAATGTTTTATTTTGGCAGGGTAGCAATGGGTAGACTTCCTGTTTTGTTTGGCCACTTTTGGATTTAGATGTTGTGTGTAAATAGATTTGGTACTTTAGCTGATTCGCTGGGATAAACCACAGTTCTAGCCAACGGGAGCGCAGACCAGCCAACACCAGGCCGGTGGGTTTTTATACTAAAACACAGAAAAATAAAAATATGTTATTGAATCACTGATTTGACGTGTCCTGGTTTTATTACTTCAAACGTTACACTTATTTTTTTTTCCTGTTTAATTTAATATGCCAAACAAAACCTTCCCTCACTTCTGAGTGGCCACAAGGTGGTGCGTGTCCTGCCCGTGAAGCAGCTGACCCTGCACCATCTGTTCCCAAAGCAACAGCTGCAGAAATACAGTATATATGTATAGTATGTTCATGAAGAGAAAAAATAAACCCACTTCAAAACTGCTTAAAACTTGTAATGGGAAAATGATATGTGACCCTTTTAAATGCTTCATTTGTATAACCAGTTTATTAGTTGCAAGTGCTTAGGTATCCGAGTCTCACAGGGGCTGGCGGCCCTCTCCTCAACACATGCCCACCACCGTACCCTGCTTCATCTGCGAACCAGCAACCTTCGTCTGCATGGTCACAAGCTCAAAAAGTTCACTACACCCGGCAGAGGGAGGAAAAGGAAGCGGCAGTGAAAGCAGCACAGGAACGACTCCTTGGCAAAGAGGAGGAAAAGAGACAGGCCGCTCTCCTCACTCGATCTCGCTCTCCAGGAGCAACCGGAGGGGACACTTCTGCCATCAACAAACTGATTGCAGAGCAACAATCTACATCAGATGGTTTCCCCCTCTTTCGACCCAGAGGGAGTTCCCCCGGATGCAAAATCTGTGCTCCAAACCCCAATGATTCAAGTACCAGGACACTCAGGTCCCATACTTGTTTTCCGGCCTTGGACTGATACGGACATTAGAGCTGCAATGGCTCATCTCCCGCCGATACAGCACTCGGGAAGACTGTTTGCTGAAGCATTCATGGACTTCTGTAAGCAATTCCTGCCCAACTTTGCTGAAATTCGACGTGTTCTAATGAGTCACGTGGGTCCGACTCACTACCAAAAGCTCAACCAGCTGGTTGCAGGAGACACCAGTGCGGCAGATGTTGAATGGAGTTCAAATCAAAATAAGCCGTACAGAGACGCACTCACGGCTTTGAGCGACGGCATAAAGACATTGTTCCCTGACAAAGTGGATATGACTCCCATCAACAATACCAAGCAGGCAGCGGGTGAGTCCGTCCATGATTACTACCAAAGACTTCTCACAGTGTTTAATCTTAACAGTGGCATTCCACAACCCGCCGTGTTAGGAGACGCTCTGGGGACGTGGGAATCACACCTGAAGAATGCTTTCATGAATGGACTATTGCCCGACATAAAAATGAATGTGCAGCGTTCTGTGGCTGGAATGGAAGACTCGCGACTCGCGGATGTAAAGAAACATGCTGCGCATGCGCAATCCATGGACATAGAGAGAACTGACCACGAGGGGAAACGGCGGTCACGTCAGATTGAACTCGCCCAACTGACTATGCTCCAAGCTGTCACTCAACTTGCCAGAAACGACCGCCCACGGGATCCCAACCAACGGGGCGGATTGAGGGGGCGTGGTCGGGATATGACGAGGGGACGCTCCTCCTGGAACCAGGAGGGATCACAGCTGTCTCCACCCAATGACTATGATACGTGTTTCCGCTGTGGCGAACAGGGACATTGGCACAGAGAATATCCACAAAACGCACCTCGTAGAGGATGGGGGCGTGGACTGGCCAGACGAGGAAGGGGTGGCAACGCACATTCCGATTGACGTGAGGCGGAGGGGGAGGAGGCTGCATGTGAGGGGGAGACGGCAACCATGCTGAGGCCTCACGTGATAAGGGAAGTAAAACACACACACACCGCAGCCTGCAATGAAGAAACGCTTTCTGCACTAACTCCCTGCACGCACACGCACACTCACACACACACACACCGGAGCAACAACAAGCTCTCGTGGACATCACAGAGCAATTGAGAACACAACAAAAGCTTTCACTTAAACACACATACGCAAAGTTTTCAGGAAAATCATTTGAAAATATGCCCACCACTATGGTGCAAATTCAAGGGAAACTTTTATCGTTTTTGGTTGATTCGGGGGCTACACATTCTGTAATACAACAGAAGTATTTTCCAGGTCAGAAACTTAGTGGAAAACAGGTTTTCTCACAAGGAGCTTCAGGGATGACTATTGTAGAGAGATTTACGGTACCTATGACCAGTACACACACTGACTCAACTGACCCTGAACCAGACATCACAGTAAAACATTCCTTTTTGCTGTCCTCTACCTGTCCCATTAATCTAATGGGCAGAGACCTCATGTGTTCTTTCGGCATTAGCCTCATCTCCACTCCTACAGGGTTGCAAGTGGTGAGATGCAGAGCCATTGACCAGATGGCAAAGACAGTTATAAGTGATCCAATGTTTGTGTACCAGTGGTGGCTTCCGGTTGACTCACAATCAGAACTGTCCCACCTGGCAGCATCACGCGTCCAGCCTGAGGCAGAGTGCATGGATGCTTCATATCTCCACTGCACAGCTCATGTGTCACATGGGCCAGATAAGCAATATGATGCATTATTTCTACAGGATCTGAATGATCAAATTGCATGTATGACATTGTTTTGGTCCACACTTAAATGTGCTGTTTCCGTTTCTCTCACCCCCTCTCAGCAGCACCTCTTTAATGTGGACTCTTCTTTCCCACACATCTCCTTGTCTAAAGCAGCAACAGACCAATGGAGAGATTTGGGACCTTTTGTCGCAGCGTGCGAGGCATTGACAGATTGGGAGGCTACACCAGATCCACTTGTGATGCGCTCTCCGTCGACAGGCTTCTTTAAACAGCCATTCGCATTTTGCACACCTGCTCTCAGATCTGTTTATGTCATGGATGAAAATAACATATTTTCTGACACACACACTGATACATTTTTGACTCATGTCTCCTCTATTTCTCCTGCCCTCAGTTCTGTTCCAGACACCTTGTGGGCAGCGCATAAATATGACGTGGGACTCATCAAAAAATGTCAACCTGTGGTCATCACTCCTCGATCAGACTTCCGTCCCCACAAACATCAATACCCACTGCGCCAAGAGGCCATTGACGGTATAACACCGGTGTTCAACTCCCTCTTAAAGGCCGGAGTCATTGTTCCATGTCCTGACTCGCCGGTAAGAACACCTATTTTTCCAGTTAAAAAGATCAGAGATGCAGGCAAACCAACTGAGTGGCGCTTCGTGCAGGACCTAAAAGCAGTTAATGCAGCCGTCCACGCACGAGCCCCAAATGTTCCCAACCCTTACACCATTATGGCACAGGTTCCACCTGATGCTCGATGGTTTTCCTCTCAAATGCTTTTTTCAGTGTCCCTGTGGACATTGACAGTCAGTTTTGGTTTGCGTTTAATTTCAATGGCAAGCCTTACACTTTCACACGCTTGTGTCAGGGCTACACAGAATCACCTACGATCTACAACGAGGCACTCAGGGAAAGTTTGGAGAGCCTCACTTTGTCTCCAGGAACAGCGCTTTTGCAGTATGTTGATGACTGTTTAATTGCAGCTCCAACACAACAGCAGTGTGAACAGGACACACTCAAATTGCTTCAACACTTAGCAGCGGAAGGACACAAGGCCAGCCTATCCAAACTACAGTTTGTTTCACAAAACGTTCATTTCCTAGGCCATAACATTTCCGGTGAAGGGAAGACACTATCACCAAAACGCATCGCCTCAATTGTAACACTTCCAAAACCACAAACCAAGAAACAGATGATGTCATTTTTGGGAATGTGTTCCTACTGTAGGTCATTTATTCCAAATTACTCCCAACTCGAGCAACCTCTGTCCGCATTGATACATGGAAAGAATCTCAGCGCGCATGATAAAATTCAGTGGCTCCCTGCAGCCTCTCAAGCTTTCACGGACATGAAATGCGCGTTACAAGTTCCTCCGACTTTGGGTCTTCCTGATCCTCACAAACCGTTCACACAAACCGTTGATGAACGTTCTGGATGTATCACATCAGTGCTCCTACAATCCCATGGCGATAAACAACGACCAGTAGCTTATTTCTCTGCAAAACTCGATCCGGTAGCAGCAGGCTTACCACAGTGCCTTCGAGCTGTGGCAGCTGCTGAAAAGGCTCTTACAGCCTCTCGTGACATTGTAGGCTATGCTACGCTAACATTATTGGTTCCACATTCGGTTTCACTGATTCTTCTCGAACAGAAGTCGTCTCATTTATCTGCAGCGCGTTACCTTCGATATCACACATGTCTCCTAGACATGCCGAATGTTACAGTAAAACGCTGCAATGTCCTCAATCCTGCATCTCTTCTCCCCACTCCGGAGGATGGAGAGGAGCATAATTGTTTGGCTGAGCTGGAAGCTCAGTGCACACCTCGACCAGACCTCGCAGACACACCTCTGCTCAACAGTGACATGGTAATGTATGTTGACGGATCTGCTTCACGGGATCCCCTGACTGGTTCTAATCTTGTGGGTTTCTCTGTTGTTTCAGACTCAACTGTTCTGTGTTCCGGCCCTCTTCCATGTCACCTCTCAGCCCAAGCAGCAGAATTAATCGCGCTAACAGAAGCTTGCAAACTAGCTAAGGATAAAACGACAACCATTCACACTGATTCCAGATACGCTTTTGGCGTGGTTCATGATTTCGGCGCGCTGTGGAGACACAGAAATTTTCTCAAATCGGATGGCAAACCAGTGTTACACCACACTCTGATAGCAGAACTATTGGATGCCATTTTGTTGCCCACAGCTATTGCCGTTTGTAAATGTGCAGCGCACACATCCGGCACAGGCGACATCGCAAAGGGGAATGAGCGAGCGGACTTAGCTGCAAAAGCGGCTGCTAGACGTCCTCTTCCCAAACCATCACGCCCAGTTCCTGCCATGTGTTCTCTTCCCTCCTCTCTTGCAGCCGTGCAGTCCCTCTCTAGTTCAGATGAGAGACGTTTTTGGTCCTCCTCAGGCTCCAAATTCATAGACGCATCTGGTATGGTCCGAATGGTAATCCATGCTTACCTAAACATTTCTTCCCTCACTATGCGAAATTGACTCATGGGTTAGACCATGTGTCAAAAGGGGGAATGTTAAGTATCA